TCGCTACGGAATCGGATATGTTCTAGATGATGGTAGTGTGGGATGCGTGTTCAGAGCGGAGAACGGCCAGCCGGCCAGTGGAGTTCTGCTACGGAACGGTGAGAGGCATATCCGGCGGAAAGCCCGTAGCCTGAACAAGCAAAAGGATGGAGCCTATACCTACTCCGAGGCCGATCAGCTCGTGCCTCGTAAGGGCAGGCCGGTGGAATTCTATGAGAACTGCGAAAACAGTTCGTTAGATGGCCGGACGGGCATTCGACGCGCGCTCATTTCCCCCTCTCTTTTCGAGGTGAAGCCCTCCTCCGATGGCTCCTCCGGTGCAGGAATCAAGGTTCGCACAAACTCCGGTCTTGAACGCGCGCGTGCCGATGCAGAGAAGATCAAACGGGTGAAGCTGGTTGATCAATTCGGCAAGTATATGATTGGATCCTTGGGCAGACATGACGACGATGACGTTTCAGAAGACGATAAACCGACAGACGGCCCGGGCCAGTTTGTCAAGTTCTACCAGAGATTAGGCAATGTCGGGGTCTGGGGGTTTGGCGACGGTGCTTTCCAGGTTTGTTAGCCCATCTCTGCCACTCAAGACCTGATCTAATCATGCCATGAAATAGTTCAATTTCCCCGACCACACAAAGCTCGTCATATCTCCCGGTCGTACAAGAGCCTCATCACCCTGGATCGACTTCTATCATCTCTCCCCTTCTGCGGCCCGGTATCTGAGCGCCAAAGGAAAGATGCACCCGTCCGGATTCGACACTCGAGCTGTCGCTTCAGACGAGGCCACGTCATTCCTGAGCATTGCACATGGCAGCACAGTGAGCTCTGTGGATGAGCGCATTCGCGATGTTCTGGAAGCCAACTTTTTCCTGGAGAAGATCAGTTTTATCAAGGAAGTCATGAAGAGCTGGGTTACGCATGGGCGCTTGGGGGGTCGACCCTCGCAAGATCAGACTTCAACCGTCGTTCCCACGGTGCTTTGGGAGGGCGCTCAGGAACAGGCGCAAGCTGGAGGAGGCAAGTTTGTCTGGGTGACCGTTGGGGCTCCTGGAGGGGATGGCGAGTATCGATCCGTCTCTCTGAAAGAGAGAGACTCAGAAGGAAGAGAGAACGATCCGGAGATCGAGTCTTTACGAGAGCGATTGCGGGCATTAGGTGCCAAGCCGTAGATTCTGCAACCTTTCCAGCTACAACTTACGATGTCACGACTTTGCGACTTGTGTTTTCCATTGGATCAGAATTCAAGCATAGCGATCACCGATATTTCCTTTGTGATATCAAACAATTGCCCCGTTCAGTCAATTGACTTTGATCACAATCTGCTGCTGCTCTTTCTTGGCATACAATGACTCCAATGTACTATACCCCTGTTATGGAGGAAGTGACCTCTCACTGCATCGCGTATCTGCTCTCTCATCTCATAGATAAACGCCTTTTCTGGTCTGATTCCCACAGCACATCGTTATCGAGCTTGCATGACATCAAAGTAGTGCTCGTCGGAGCCCAGCTGCCATGAGCGATCGTCGTGCGAAGCTATACCATCCGCTTGTACACTGAGACTCGCATTTCTTCTCCACGCTCATAGACTAACGGGGAAAATCTCGGAGTATCTCCAGGAGCCTCTTCTTCGTCCAACTATGTCATGTAGCACAGGTACCCGCCGTGCGGGGTTAGATAGACCCTCTGTCCTCAAGCCGATAGCATTCAACCTCTAGCATTTCATCGATTTACCCGATCTTTCAGTGCTTACTGAGATCTGCTTTGACCTAGAGTTCCCAACATGGACCCCATCTCCTTGTCTGAGATGCAGAATCCGTCATGTCTCCTCTACGGCCCATTTAACGCGAGATTCGAAGATAGACCCATCCCGCGGATCGAGGACCCATCCGATGTGATCATTCGCATCGCATACACGGGCGTCTGTGGAAGCGACGTACGTCACTTACCTCCCTTTCCCTCACGATAAACGAACCCACATCTAATTACAAGCGCAAGGTCCATTTCTGGCTCCATGGCGGAGTCAAACGCCTCGTATCCCCCGAACAACCGATCGTCATGGGCCACGAAGCGTCCGGCATCGTCCACGCCGTTGGATCCTCAGTTTCCACACTCCAGCCAGGAGACCATGTCGCCATTGAACCGGGATACCCGTGCCACCGGTGCCCCTGCTGCAAAGGCGGCCGGTACAACCTCTGCCCGCGGATGAAGTTCGCCGCGGCCCCGCCCAGCTGCCACGGCACGTTGACCAAGTACTTCCGTCTGCCTGCGGACTACTGCTACAAGATTCCCCCGGGGACGCTAGGGCTAGACGAGGCAGTGCTGATGGAGCCGTTGGCGGTGGCGGTGCACTCGGTGCGACAGGTGGGTGTGCGGCCTGGCCACCGGGTGGTAGTGTTTGGTGCGGGAACGGTGGGCTTGCTCTGTGCAGCGGTGGCGAGGGAGTTCGGGGCCCGGACGATCATTACGGTTGATGCTAACCAAGCGAAGCTGAGATTTGCGCGGTCGTTCCTCGCGAGCGAGGAAATGGTCCTGGGGACGTTTGTGCCTGATTCGTCCAAGTCTTCGGAGGAGAACGCTGTCGCTTTGCTGGAGGAGTATGACCGAGCGGAGCACGGGAGCGACGAGATACCCGGCTTTGACGTCGTCATCGAGGCTACGGGTGCGGAGCCTTGCATTCAAATGGGGATTGAGGTGCTTCGGGGTGGGGGTGCGTTTATCCAGACGGGGCTTGGGAAGCGAAATGTGAGCTTTCCTATCTGCACGGTTGCGGAGAGGGAGATTGTGGTGAAGGGATGCTTTCGTTATGGCCCTGGGGATTTCAGGCTGGGGCTGCAGTTTGCGGTTGAGGGGAGGATTCCTGTCAAGCAGTTCATCACCAGAGTGTTGCCTTTTGAGAGGGCGACGGAGGCCTGGGAGACGACCAGGCGTGGAGAGGGCATCAAGACGCTGATTGAGGGTGTCCAGTGAGGCATATTCCAGCCGATTAAGCCCTTGGATGAAGCAATTGGACTGTTACTTTAAATATCCACAGAGGTCATTAAGAACTTTCGTCAGAGATTGCCAATACAGTGCTTTCACCATGTCTGATACATGAAAGTCCTCGTCTAAAAGCAAGACAAATTTCAAGCATTTGTGCCTCCATCTACTGCGCAAGTTCGCCCATGATGATCCAGCCTCGTCGCTCAATTGGAAAGCGACGACGTTTGCAACTCCTGGCGCCTCGCCCAAGTGATGTTAGTGCCACTTTCTTCATTGGCACGAAGCATCAGGGTGTTAATAGGGCTCCTGAACGAGCACGTCAGCTTCGCTTAGAATAATTTCACGCCAAACTTACAGCATCATGATATTGACGGGATCGCTTGTTCGCCCGCCTTGATTGCAGCCCTTATGATCAAGCTAACGCGTGCATACTTGCTGGCACTGTAAACAGAGCCTTTCGCGAATCCCCGCTCCTAACAGTCCAGGTTTGAGTGCTTTGCTGAGGATATTGAAGATGGCTCTCACATTGACATCCATCACAAAGTTGTTCTCTTGCTCATTGATCTCCTAAATTTCTTGGTGATAGAGCTTGTGTCCTGTAACTACATGTGTAATCCGCGTTAAGCCCTTCAATGAACTTCAATAGGCCGTCCCGGGTTATATCACAGAATCCTAAAAGTGCACAGGATGAAGAAGGCCCTCAGTTCCCACATATTCTCCTATTCCTGCCCCCGAGTAATACATATCCAGATCCTTATGATGAGTCCTGTATACCAAAATGGGTAGGTATATGGGCAGGCTGTAGTCTCACCTTTTAGCAACCCTCATTATCGTGAATAGACATGTGTGTATTCTCCCATCCATCCATACTTTATACAGTATTTTCAATATGGCCAGAAGTGTAACAAAGCATATTTGAGAGGAAGAATGATAAGAATAGCGAGAACGTACGATCTCTCTCGAGTCTGCACCATTCCTAGAAGGGTAACGTTGTCCGTCTCCCGGACTTTTCTATGCGATGCTTGTTTCGATCTCCAACCGACATCCTCCCAGGCCATCATCACGACCGTGTCCTCTGACTTCCGATTACAGCTCGTGCTCATCTGCTTCTTTTTTATAAAAGACAGAATGCAAACAGATGGTTCAGCCCAAGGCTGACCAATCAGTCTGCACTAATCTACCGGAATGATGCCGGATGAGTACTCTCGGCACTGCAGAGTCACTCAATGTCGAATCAAGATGAAACACGAGACGGGGAGGTCATGTCTCATCCAGCGATTGTTCCTCATAGCTTTGATCTGTCGTTCTTATTGATCTTATCTAAAGTCTTGACTTTCATGGCAAGTCCTATCTGTCATTGATACACATCAATCTCCGAGGATGGCGATGAGGCCTCCTCACACATACCAACGACCAGCCAATTGTGTCTAAAAATGATCGAAGTCTCCACAGATGGTCTTGCTCATTATACCATAACGAATGGATCAAGTTACAGTCTGAATGAGGGCTGTGGGGCGCTGGAAGATTTTGCCAAAGCTTCGGTTGATGAGTCCTCTCCTCGGAGATATCCCCCGAAGCAGTTGTTGTCATTATCTGATCGAATAATGCCGAGAAACATGGCTATAAGATAAGCACTTACGTGCTATATGCTGTAGGGCAGCAACATTGGATGGGTTGTTGCTTGCTCGCCGGCCGTTTCTTGATATCCGCAGGCGAACTTGGACCGGCCCTGAGCGACTCCATCGCCGAATTCTGCGGATTTCTCCGCGGCTTCCACTAATCATGTAAGAAAAAAATACGATGAATTCTTCGAGAGGGCTGTCTCTTCTCGACTAGGCTACATGACCCCTCTTTTGCTAGGAGCGGACTAGGAATCGGGGCGCTCCGAGGGGTTGTGTCTGTGTCCTGTCTCTTGTCTATAAGTGCGCTTGGCCTTAAGTCCCTGCCCGCCACTTCGCTCATACTCTCAAATCTCTAAAAGTCTCTAGAAGGTATACTTGACGGCTAAGTCGAGCTCAACGATGGCCGATGAGGTCACCATTCACAGAAACATCGAGGCACAAAGTGCCTTTGCGTCCACCCTCGTGGCAGACGTTGAAAGAGCTACTCATTCAAAAGAAGCCGAGCAAGGCCAACAACACAAGAAAATGGCTCAGTAATTGAGATAGCCGATTCCGGCGTCGGATCTGGCGCCGTCTATGCGGCCAAGGCGCAAGTTTTGAACAAGGCGTTGCTCGACCTTGGCATGGGCCGATATCAGTGGTTGCTCTTCTTGATCACGAGTATTGGATGGTTCCTTGACAGTGTAAGTTGAGATTAGGCATGCGTCAAGAAGCCCTAGCTAATGGGAATGGTAGTTTTGGATGACATCCTTTGTGGTCATCGCTCCGGCTGCCTCGAATGAAGCCCTATTCTTCTACTCGGGTGACGAATCTTCTTACTTCTTTGTCAGTTTATTTGTTGGTATGACAATCGGCGCGGCTGCGTGGCCCTGGATGTCCGACTTGTTGGGCCGGAAATGGATTTTCACGAGCACATTGGTCCTCATGGGCATGGGCGGCTTGGTTGGAGCTGGAATGCCGGCCTTTACTGGACTCTGTGTTGTTGGGTTCGCGGTTGGACTGGCAGTTTCAGGCAATCAGCTTGTCGATGCAATAATCCTTCTGGAGGTTCTCCCTGCTTCTTATCAATACTTGGTCGCTATACAGGGGGCTCTCTGGGGCCTGGGCCAACTGACCGCCTCTGCAATCGGATGGTGAGTGGATATGGCCCCTATTGCTGTGTCTTTTCTCACCGGTAATAGGGCCTTCATCGAGCAATACACCTGTGGAACAGGCCCTGATGAACTGAGCACAGCAGCCGTTCTGTCAAGCATCAAGGCTCGTACAATAACGCATTCCAGCAGTGGCAGTAGCAGAAGTACTTCATCATCCTGCCATTATGTTTCGAACAAAGGCTGGCGCTACGTCTGGTGGACGTTTGGCTGTATCACTTTGTTTGTCTATCTTTGCCGCTTTGCATTCCCGCTTCGAGAAACTCCCAAATATCTCCTCTCCCGCCGTCGAGACGCGGAAGCCACACAGATCGTCAAGGATATCGCAGGGTACAACAGACGTCAAACCTGGCTCACGGAGACATCGTTTGCCCGGGTCGACTCCACCATTGATACCAGTGCCGCTGAGAGGCGCAGGCAATCACGAGTACGCTGGCTCGGTCGCGTGACGCGGCCCTGGCATTCGAGTGTATCTTATCGTTCCTGCAGTATGCAGCTCTGGCCGTCATAACGATCTACACAGTGGAGGCATTCGCCTCGCCGGTCCGCGGGTGCGGATTGGCTCTCATGGGATCCACGTGGGGACTGTTCGGGCTGGTTGCTCGGATCATTACCACGTTCTACGGCGACGCTGTCGCGGGAGGCGGCCCGGTCTGGTTCTGCGGTGCTATCTGGGTGGTAATGGGCGGAGCGTGGCTGGCCCTTCCGGTTGAAACCTGGGGAAAAGCAGCAGCTTAAGCCATAATCAAAGTGAATACGTTCGATTTTCATATCTATGCAATGCCATCTATACCTGAACCATGCCTCTCTAAACACGCAAACAGTAAACCGCATGATAAATCATCCTCTCCCAGCCCTAAGCATATACCCCTGCACATACCCCGCCACAACCTCCCTCTCCTCCACCAACCGAAACCCATACTTCTCATACAGCGGCCTCCCCGCCGGCGACGACGAGAGATACGTCTCCAAACCCGCCTCCTCAGCCCTCTCCAATCCCCACCGGAGCAGTCTCGACGCAAGACCCCGCCCGTGGTACGCCGGGTGGGTCCCCAGCATCTCGAGATCTAGTCAAATCAGCCCCTCCACCTCTCATCGGACACAACGAGAGGGAAAAAAACAGAGAAAAACATACAGTAATGAGGCCGACCACACATAATCCTCCGCCTCATCTCCGCCATCCCGCCAAAGAATAACGCGCAGAGCTCTCGGTCGGAACTGGCGGGATACGCGTCGCCTGGATGCGTCTCACCCTCAGGGGACGGTTGGCCCGGGAGTTGCCACACCGCGAATGCGACGATGGCGCCGTCTGCTGAATCGATCATTTTGAGGACGGCCTTGTCTGGACTGTTGATGAAGGAGGCGAAGTGTGCTGTCCAGTAGGCGGTCACGTCTGGGGTGCGTGGGAACAGGCGCTGGTTGAAGGGGTCGCTGAAGGCGGAGAGGAAGACGTTGGTCAGAGCGGGGGAGTCTGTGGGATTTGCGGGGAGGAGTTTGAAGGTCATTTTTTTCTTTGGTCTATTTATATATATTGAGTTGCGGATTTACGGTTCTGATGAAGGGGGATGAAAAGGTGGTGAGAGTGAGAGTGAGATGAGATATGATTGTGCCAAGACTGCGCAGCAGTGGGACGGAATGGAGCGGATTGCCCAAGCAGCGAACAAATATATTCGAACTCATCCGTACTGATTCGGGAGTTTATGCCCTGTCGGTGTGGGTTGCTACAGGGGAAGAATATGCATCATGTCAGGTTCATTAGGATTAGTAGAATTTATGCACATAAAGTTCATAGCAACCGAGGAGTTAGCAAAATCAAGCTCGCTCAGGAGACCGACAATGCGGGTTCTTCTCCATTACCGGCTCAGGAAAAGACACCGGGCTGCCCGCATCAGGTTTCCTAGGCTGTTGCGACTCAGGGGCCCGCGCCTGCGGCAGAAACGACCGACGGACCTGCCCTGGTCCAGCCATCGTGCGATTCTCCCCGCTCTTGGTCGCCTCGATCTCCCGCTTGACACCCTCATACATACTCTCGATGAAAAGAATCTCCTCCTGGACATCCAGCTCGCAGCCATCGAGGCAGAACTCGCGCTCCCGCTGCTCGACATACTCCCGGATATTCCGCCATTCGTTCTGGTAGTGCTTCAAACGATCGGGCAGCCCCGACCCCTTGAGGTACGTCAGGATACCCGCCATGATAGTGTTGATGGCGCCGAACGCCGTGACGGCCGAGTGGGGCCCCCTCGCGGCGCCGAGGGCCGTCAGCGCTGCCGCGACCACGATCTGGATGCCCAGGCAGGTGTTCATGAGGATGCTGAAAAATTGGTACCGCTGTGCGGCGGACCGCTCAGCGCGCACGACGCGCGTGTAGATGCCGACGTTGGGCGCGGTGCGCTGGTGATGGTGCGGAATTGTCAGGGCCGGGACGCTGTCGATGCCGGTGAGAGCGCGGAAGACGAGCAGTTTGTCTGACGGGGGGATCAGGGTGCTTGCGTGGGTGGTCGCGACCGTCAGGCGGCGCACGAGTTGTGGATTGTTTGCGGATCCCATGGATAGACCCTCGTTTTCTGGGTTGTGGAGTCCGTGCATTGTAGCGTATTGAGGGTAGCCCTGTTCCTCGCGATCAACGGGGTCGATGATTGCTGTCAGGACACGCCTGAGAAGGGTCGGTCGGGGTCGTTCCGCCATGGTCATTTGCAGCGTGGCTCTGCTGAAGGACGGGTGACGAGACAAGCTGTACGGAGTCTTTGTGTGTTGACTGCGCGGGACGAGCCCATCGTACTTAAGGTTCCGTCAGGCACCTTGAGCTTCCGGAAAAGTGGACTGCCTTTTGTGTCTTTGCTTTTTTCCTTTGTTTGTTCGTCGAGGCTTGGTATTAAGTCAGCTAGCCTAGGGTCCGACATGCATCGGGGGTGCTGCCAAAGATATGAGCGCCGAATCATATCGAATACAATGTCAGTGAACTGAAATGAGTTGGGAAAAGCTGACCAATAATCAAGCCATTCATTTCCACCGATTCCTCAAACTGATGACCGACTGCAGATCGGCATGTTTTGGGCAATCAGTCTGGCAGATCAGTCGGGAGCTCAGCAGTGCGGGAGCGGCCCACTGAAGAACCAGAACCAGAAAATCTCATCAGATATTGTTATTAGGGGCTGAGACTCCTTGCTCGTGCTCCTTGCTCGTGCTCCTTGCTCGTGCTCCTTGCTCTGTGCAATAATGACCATGAAGTTGACTGTACGCTCATGAGTATGACTATCATGGTGGTGGCACGGATCACAGATGATTTGAAATTCCGACGTCGACACAGAAGTGACCGAAAGCGAACTCTTCATTTAGTGTGTCTTGGCGATGTACACAAGAAGTTAAAAGGGTGATTGACGAACTGGAGGTGAAGGCTGGAGGTGTGATGGACATGTTGCAGACAGTGATCGGTCCAGTCTAGACTCTATGTAGGGAGTCACTCGTGCGATCGGGAAATCGCTCCACCAATCTCTGCTGAGATTACCATCAGTACAGCATTCCGTTTCGAGTCGTTCGAATAATTTTGACTCATAAAGTCACTGCTTTCACGACAATGAACATGGAGAAGTCTACAGCATGGCGGGCTGAAGCGAAGCCACTAAAGCACCGGACTCACACCGGCGTGGTCGACCGTCAACAGGTCATCATGCTCCCGGCTCGTTTCTTTAATGAAGACAGTCATGCGACATCAGCAATCTCATGCATCCAAGGGAAGATCGGAGAGATTCTGATAAATAAGATAACCAGACAAACCAGCGATCTGAGGGATGCATGGATGGAAGAAAAGCAGACAGATCTTTTGCCTTGATGCCTTGCTGCATTCTGACAAGATCATCTGCAAAGTGCACAACCGGAGTACTTATCCAGGATTGATGATTGTCTCGTCTTCACTATGGCCGATGCTCATTCTTTCATGACGACAGAGACAATTGCTGGAATCACCACCGGGAGGATATTCAGAACTCAACCATTCCTAATGACCCTGGGAATACGAGGATGACCTCGGTTGGCGATGTCCAAAATGAGGGATTAGTAATGCAAGTGTGGGGATTGCTGGATAAGGCCGATAAGGAAATCCCCTGCAGTGGTCGATGGGGATTCTTCCCCTCCTTCGCGACATTTGCAATTGTTGGCGACAATTGCTCATCTGGAGATTCTGGACTGGTATTCTATCCGATATCTGCAGACGGGTCGGTAGAGGTCACTGTGTCCCAGATCTCCTGCCATACCTGGTCATTTCTAGGCAATTGACAGTCCCCTTTTTCCGATATCTTTCAGCGTCCTAGGATCCCGAGTCCTGACAATACAGAGAAATGGGCGATGCGGCTTTAGTCAAGGAGCAGTTGCTCATAGCTTTCATGCATGACCTACCCGCAGCCGTGGTCGAGGATATTCGCGCCAAATTTGCCAATGCCGAGGTCACCATTATTCACCTAGAGAGAATGGCTCCGATCCCAAGTGGTTCGTCATGCACCCACTAGATTGGCAGTGGAGACGCTGACTCTTCGCTTAGAATATGCACGCAAGGCTACCATTATCGTGACATTTACCAATCTGCCGAACATTGAGGATTCTGCCAAGTAAGTGTACCTGACGGCATTCCTACCCGGGTGGTCCTGACTGATGCGAACTGACTGTGCTAGTATCAAGCTGATTCACACCCTCTCAGCCGGAGTCGACCATCTCTTGACCCATCCTATTCTCAAAGATAGCAAGATACCCATCAGTACCAGCTCGGGAATACATGGACCTCCTATTGCCGAATGGACTGTAATGAACTGGCTCGCCGCGTCGAAAGAGTTTGTCCGGACGTACGAGAATCAAAAGCAGCACATCTGGGGAGGTGTGGATGAATACATGCATGGACTGCATGACCAAGTTGGGAAGAAGGTGGGCATTTTAGGATACGGAAGCATTGGACGACAGAGTATGTCATTGACCATTTAAATGGATCACCTGCTGACAGTGATCCAGTCGCTCGTGTCGCTGCCGCTCTAGGAATGACTGTCCACGCGTATACGGCTTCTCCTCGCCTCACTCCCGAATCCCGTCGCGATACCGGATACATTGTCCCCGGGACCGGCGACAAGGACGGTTCGATACCGGTGTCATGGCACCACGGCACAGACAAGGCGTCAATCCATTCATTCCTGAAGCTCGGATTGGACCATCTGGTCGTCTGTGTGCCATTGACAGCGCAAACGCATCATCTCCTCGGAGCCGAAGAATTCGCAGTCTTATCCTCACACATACCCGCCAGACACCCTAAGCCATATCTGACCAACATTGCACGCGGCAAGGTCGTTGACCAGGAGGCATTGATCGCATCTCTCCAGTCGGGTGAGTTGAGTGGGGCAGCGCTGGACGTCACCGATCCGGAACCGCTCCCTGCGGATCATCCGCTATGGGATGTGCCAAATGTGCGGATCAGTCCTCATATCAGTTCTCTGGGCAGGGAATATTTTCCCCGGTCCTTGGATATTGCCAAGGAGAATATAGGGCGATTGGAGAGGGGGGAACCGCTGGTCAATGAGTACAAACGGAATAGGGGATATTAGTTGGGACGTTTTGGCTGGAAGAATGTTGATTTTCCATTATATACGCAGATTTCAAGAATTAGAATCAATCCTTATTTAGATACTACTTGAGATACCTTTACACAGTACGATCTATTTCGATGGCGACGGGAGTCTGACAGGCTGACATACCCCGCATAGACCAATCAAAGCCAACCCCGCATCCGGCGCTGACGTTGAAAGCTTATCGCCAGCGCTTATCATCTGGCTGGACCTCAGGATCAGCTCATTTCGTCGTCTTCCATGTTTCAACACTCCAACTAAAGTAATATTGGTCCTATATGTGACAGTCAATGTCTTCTTTCCCCTTTCTCTCCCTCCCCCCCGAAGTCCGCCTCCAAATCTACCACTACCTGATCCCCAACATCCCCGTTCGCAACTTCTCCCTGATCCGCAACAAAAGGCCCCCCCTCCGACGAGACGGGAAACCCTGCTGCCCCGCCCTCCTCCGCACCAACCACGCAATCCACACCGAAGCCATCCGCGAATGGTACAGCGCAGCCGCCTACGAAGTCATCGTCGACGCTAAATACATCCTCTTCTGCGGCAAGATCCTAGCCCCCTATGTCCCGCTCCCGTCTACAATCCGCCACGTCACAACCATGCACCTCTGCATCGCGCTGCAGCGCACACCCTCGCATCTCCTCCGGCCCGAGGCCTCGGCGCCGCTGGAACACCTCCTGGGCTTCCAGGATAGGCTTGTGACGCTGGCGAAGGGGCTCGGGGATCCGGTTGGGCGAAGGCTGAGGACGCTGTTGGTGGAGATTGCGGTTGACGTGCCGCTGCTGTTGAGCTTGAGTAAGACGCCGGCAGAGCTGGTGGAGTTGCTCGAGTGGAACTTGGATCCTGTCAGGCAGAATGTGAGGGGGGTGGAGGTTGTCAAGTGGGAGGTCAAGGAGCAGAGCTATGGGATCCAGAGTCGGGAGTTTCTGGCTGCGTATGGGGAGTTGAGGACGGTCATGTATCGGTTTTTGGAGGAGATGAGGGAGGAGATGGTATCGGTGGAGGATGATTTGGTTTGAGGTTTAGGTATGTATTGACGATCATGCGATTATGATAGCTCGTTACTGAATCGAGACATCTAGCCGAGCTTGCAGGAGATAATCCCTCCAGCCACGGAAATTCCAGTATTTCGTTATCAATCTGGTGACATCGCAATTGATTTATAAGCAGAGCAGCAGTTTTGAAATTCGTGCTCCCTGCTGTAGTTCAAGCAGTACATGTTTCCATCAACCCTTCTGTTTACACAAATTGTGCATAACATTGTGGAAGAAATCCGGCCTTTGACTGTCAATTAGTCGCTCGGTTGCCAACTACAACACACGCATCAGTCGCAATGTCTCAAACAAAGATCATGCCTCGAAGCTCAAAGCCCTAGGCGTCCACCCGATCATGTCCAACGGTTTAGACGACTTGGACGCGATCAGACAAATTGCCAGTGAACATGACATCGTCATTGACGCCGCATCGGCTAGTCATAACACGTCGGCTCCCGCCATTCCAGGGACTTGCAGAGAGAAAAAAGAAGGCCCGGCGTGCTGTTCAATACATCCATACCTCGGGAACCCGATTCTCGCCGATCAACCCGTGTCCGGAAAGAAAGTTGACTTGGGTATATACTCTGATGCGACTGATGATATTTACCAGTACGAGAAGAGCCGGGGTCCATACAGCCAACGCATAACCGACATCGCGGTGATTGAAGCTGGGGAAGAACTTGACGTACCGACTTACATTCTTGTTCCGCCCATTGTCTACGGTACAGGAAGTGGCCCGGTCGTCACAATATCGCTACAGAATCCGTACCTCGTGCGCCAGGCAATCAAGAGGCGAGGATTGTTGCCCTCTATCCGGGTTCGATCCTCCACTTCAAGGATTGTCTGGAGTCTATCAGAGGCGAGGACTTTGATATATCCTATCGCTCGAAGAATCGTTGGCGATGTCTTGGAAATGGTTTCACCCACCGGGAGGTTCAACGTGGCGACCTGGCGTATTATATTGAGCATTGAGACCGGGAAAAATAGTCCAACTGCTCAAGTTTCTGAGATAGATCTGGATGTTTCTGCTGCTCGGTCTTTGACAATTAGTATAGCA